CTATACAATATATAAAATGATTGAAATATTAAAATTTATTACTTTAATGGGTCAAGTTTGTTCAATATGTTTTATTATGTATTAAATATTTATGCGAAAGATGGATAAATTCTTTAATTTTAATGGGTCAAGTTTATTAAACATAAATAAAATATAAACATAAATAAATTACTAAAATTTTAACGGGTCAAGTTTATCGTTGATCAATATATATTTATCTATACAATATATAAAATGATTGAAATATTAAAATTTATTATTTTAATGTGTTAAGTTCGTTCAATATATTTTATTATATTTTATTATGTATTAAATATTTATGCTAAAGATGACTAAATTCTTTAATTTCTAACTTTGAAAATTATAATAAACCTAAAATATCATATTCATGTTATAGTAGATTGCAAATAATTATGTTATATTAATGTATTATTGTTTATATTTATTCTCCTATATGTATTTGTTTCTAAATTGAAATTTACTATTATAAAACAAAAAACATAATTATACAATGCATTTACAGAAAAACATAAGTAATGCACGAGTAATTATATTAAAATTCATATGAACGCATGAGTTATTATATTTTTTTTATAATTAAAAAAATAAAAATAGAAATAATATATTAATTCAATACGAGAAAAATATGTTATTTTTTCATTATTTATCTATCTAATATATTTTATTTTAAAATTATTTTTTTGTTTAAGATACAATTTTTTTTAAAATAATATATGAAAAATTATTGATGTAAAATAATTTCGGTAAAACAATTTTATTTTTATTTTAAAAATATTTCTTTCTTTTAAAAATAACAGGTAACTTTGGTAGAACAATTTTATTTTTTTTATTTGTATTATTGTTATATTTTAAAAATAAAAGTATGCGTACCACACTAATATCTAAGAATAGTAAAATGGGTTGGGTCTGTCGGGTCGGTCTGTTTGACCCACCATTTTTGGTGGATTGGGTTGAGATTTTCGACTCGGTATCTTAAATTGGTCTGCCCCACTTAACCCATTTTAAAAAGTGTGCCGAGACGGTGCAGGGCGGGTTTTACCCGCAAACTTTTTGTTAAAACTTTTTATTTTTTATTTAGAATTAGAACAATTTTAACTATAAAAATAACACTCTTCTCTTAGAATTATGTTGATTGAATTGTATTATAAATTGTTATACAAACAAATTGAATTATAATTGTAAGGTTCTTTTTATAACTTTCTAATATGTGTTGGTTGAAAAAACATGAAATAAAAGAACAATTGTATGACATGAAGAATTATTAATTAAATCATCAATATATTAACTCATATATTTTCTTTAGAAACTAATGTTGATTTTAAGAAAAAGAATGATTTGATTAGTGTATACGTGTGACAAATTTATTATATAACTATTAATGAATCAATCAATATAACAGTCTATATAATGCAATAAGAAAGTCAAATGTTTATATTTTATGCACCGTAATTGTTATCATTGTTTGTTTTGTATAAATTATTAATTGAGTTCTTTTAGTAGTTATTTTTTAAATATGATTAGGATGATGCGTATTGTTTATTTATTTATTTTGCTAAGTGATCTTACCAGTGATCAGAAGTGTGTGATCGGTCAAATAGTCAGTTGGTGTCTCCGATGCTGAAGTTAGAAAGAGTGAGAGATAAAAGTGAGTTAGAGTTGTAAATGAATCTACCTGGCCCTCTTGAACAGGAGGGTATTTATAGGCTAATGACCTCCATTATGGGTCGAGTATCCAGGCCCATAATGGAAGGTTGCTAGAATTCTTGCGTGGGGAGTGAAGATGAGCGACACGTGCCCATCATATTGGGTTAAGTGCTTCGTGGACTTCGTGGATAATGGCCTGACCATGTCTGTTACGAAGGGTGTAACGACTCCGAAGAGTGCTGAACACGTTGATGACGTGTTTTCGGGTGAGGGACACGTGGTTAACACGTCTTCAGCTTGAACCCCAAATGATTGGGCCATCACTTGGATCGTCCTTGACGCAAGGACAAGTTGGGCCGTGCCCGAAGTGGGCCAGCCACGGGCCCAGTCCAGAACAATAAGTTTTTTTATTGTGCTTGAGTCTATTTCGTTATATTTTTCTTGTAATTGGTCTTTATTTATTTTATTTTTTGAATTGTTTGAACTTAAGACATGTTGAAGTTCTATTATGCATTATTAAAAAATATCTTTTGTCTGTCGCTTTGGTAATGATTAAATTTTTTGTAAATCATGTAATAAATTAAATCATAAAAAAAATAGACGAACCGGCCCGCCAACTCGTTAGTAGACGAGGCGAGCTTGATTTTTGAACTCAGACATGTAAGTTGGTCTGCCCCGTCCTATTTTTAGACGAGTTTAAACAGGACGAACTTAAATGGGGCGGACCGTCCACTTTACCACCCCTACCAGTACTCATGCGAACGTACGAGTATCCCACTAGTTTATTAAACGAATTAAGGTTCGCTTAGCAAATAAACGCTTCTTTATGGTGAAGTATCTGTCATCTCATCACGAGGTTGTTAAAGTCACTAAGTGCATGTTTGGTTTGACTTTTGGAAGGACCAAAAGCAATTTTGGAGGTGTAAAATTGATTTTGGGTAATTTTGAGATGTTTGGTTAGGCAAAAGTATAATTGATTCTGTCTCCGAAGTTGATTCTGCTTGAAGCTGGAATTTGTAGCTTTTGCCTCTAGAATTACTTCTGAACGATTTTTACACTGAAATTTATTATTCAACTCACTTTTACATAAATATATCTAAACATAAATCAATTTTACTAAATTCAATTCTGATAAAATCAATTATACTAAATTCAATTCTTAAAATCAATTTTATCCACCACCAATCTAAACGCATCAGTGACTCGCTTAGAAAATTGTCTTGCCCTATTTTTACTTACAAAATCTTTATTGTGATTTGCGACTCGCTTAGAAAATTGTCTTGCCCTATTTTTACTTACAAAATCTTTATTGTGATTTGCTAAGGCATTTGTTGGCTCGCCCAAGGAATTACATGAAATTCAGAATTCATAATATTTTATCTTTTTTGTTTTCTTTATCCAACATAATGCACATACTAGTACTATAGAAATATGTTAAAGTTCATGATAAAATAAGCTTTTAAATATCATAAAATATAAAAAATTAGGTAAAATTGAAACTAATCATACACATACATTAATTTCTTTTAAAATACCGCATATTTCAAATAAAAACACGAAATCACATAATAAATTATGAAATTAGTCATACATGCTCCAAAATATATATCACTTTATTAAATGTAACATGAATTAAGAGAAAAACGGCTTTTTATTTGAAAAAAAATTATATGTTTTCATTCTATTTTTGATTTTCTCTCATTCTCAATTAATTCTAGAGAGTCACTGCGTGTGCAGTGTTCTATGCCTTGTGTCCTAAATCTTATAAATTTAAAATAGATTTTATTAATTAATATGTAGTGTAGAAATAGGTTGGATCAAAGTAGACTTTATCAAGTCTAAGTCTAACATGTTAAAAAATTTGAAGTCTAAGTCAAATTTATAGTCTTTTATAGATTTACTTTTAGATTTAAATTTGATATTTTCTAAGGTCCGATTAGCAGCTTAGCCGCTTAGCCTATATAAAAACTTATTTTTTAGATATATATAAATAAGCGATTTAAATAATATTTAAATAGATTAATAAATTAGCAAATTAATGAAACTAAAAATTTGTTTGCATTGATTTATTTTAATTTACTAATTAACATAAGTTTTCATCTCATTTTCATAAATTCTTAAATATAACCAAGTTTTATTTATGTATTTTGATTCAAAATACAAAACATAACATAATAATAATAATAATAATAATAATAAATTATTCATATTTATTTATATAAACTGGTCTATTAGGTTAAAAGGGTTTTTTTATTGGAGCTTAGTCTTTTTAACTAAATAGATTTACAAAAAAACTTAAGCCTAGTCTGAACCTATGTAAACTAGACCGTAACTTGAACTTATGTAGACTAAATCGTAAACCCCTATTATCGACATGACCTATTTCTATCTCTAATTGATACTATGGATGTTTGCGCTGCAATTTAAATATATTGAGATAAAAAATCATCTTATTCAAAAATAAATTTATTTATAATTTGGTTTAATTTTAAATCACTGGTTAAAAAATTTTAATCCAATTTGATTTAATTTTATAGAATTTATTTTAAATTGATTTTTAAATACCAAAATTATAAATTATATTCTTTATTAATATTATAAAACACATGCAATATATTAAATGTAATATATTATAAAATAACATTACAAAATTAGAATTTTCAATTATGGTTAAAATAAATAAAATAATAAAAATAAATAAATTAAATTAAATTAATAAACAATATTAATTAATTAACATGATATTAAAATATATACATAAAGTTCGAATCAGTTTAGATCGATTATTATATTTACATGAAAATAAGTGCACATTTGAATTATAAAAATACGTGAGGATGTTTATATGGAGTTGGTATTGAGGTTATCAAGAGCTAGCAGGTAGGAGTATGACTCTTTTTTATTGAAAAGTATTAAACATTGTCTAACTTGTTTTTTACGCCAACAACTCTATCTTTTTTTTCAGCATGTTCTTTATTCTCGAATAAACGAGTTAACGCTTAAATCCATTTAAAACAAATTATAGTCCCTACTTTCTATGATATGATATGATGGAACATAATTAAACTCGTATACGTCGAGTTTTGTTTTCAAATTATCATGCATAGACATTATATACTTTTTCTTTAATTACAAACTACACTTTTGTAGCAGCCACTAAAAAAAGCAAAGAAAGAAAATTCCACGTACTTTAAATGAATTTCTAACCACCAACAGTATGAACCATGAAAATTAAAAGGACAAGACATTGTTGCATTAGTTTTCTGACTCAAACAAAATAAAAGCCCCACGTTGTTGCTCATAATTGCAAACATTGTCGAAAACAAAGAAAAAAAATGAATCTACTTGGTCTAATAAGTTCCAGAGCTTATTTTTGCTGTATGGTTGTGTTTGTTCTAATAGGAGGAGTACCTTTCTCTTCAAATGCACAACTTGATCCATCTTTTTACAGCACAACTTGTCCAAACGTTAGTTCCATTGTTCGTGGAGTCCTAACAAATGTTTCTCTGACAGATCCTCGTATGCTTGCTAGTCTCATCAGGCTTCACTTTCATGATTGTTTTGTTCAAGTATGTGTTTATTTACCTTCTATATTTTTCTTATGTCATAAAGAGTTCAAGTATTGTAATTGTTGTGAAATTTTGTTGTAGGGTTGTGATGGTTCGGTTTTGCTGAACGATACAGCTACGATAGTGAGTGAGCAAACTGCACCAGCAAATAATAACTCCATAAGAGGTTTGGATGTGGTGAATCGAATCAAAACAGCAGTGGAAAATGCTTGTCCTAATACAGTTTCTTGCGCTGATATCCTTGCTCTTTCTGCTGAAATATCCTCTGATCTGGTATGTATGCGTCGGTCTTAGTCCTACTTTTAAATCAATTTCATAGCTTCCCTAGTTTGGTGGAAAAAATTGATTATATTACATAGCTATTTTGTATGTATAATATTTCCAAATAAACCGATAAATAACAATTATTAAGAAATAAGTAATTCAGATCATCTGTCTCGCACTAAAACTTTGGTCTTCAGTTTCACCAATAATCTCAGTCAAGTTTATTTTTAGTTTAACCAACCAGTTCCAATCCATGTAGTAAATCGACTAATCTGATTTTGTGATTCAGATGGAAGATTTACTTGTCAAGTCTTGTTATTCGTCCTTAGTGAAAGCTTTTATCCCACTAAAATTTAATTACTTGGTTAAATCTTAGTAAAGACTACACATACATGTTTTCCTCTTATCCAAGAATGATTAAATTTAAAAAAGTATTATTGATTCTAATAGTTGCTTCAATAAAGGAACTGGAAACTTTATAAAGTTATAAGCCTCATTTTGGTATGGCAAGGTAACGCTTTTGATGTGGTCCTACATTAATCAACTTCTTATATCATTTTTGTTTGGGCTTGAATTGGTTTGAATTATTGATTTTTTGAGAGCTATTTTCACCCTCCTCCAATAATTGCACCCCTATGAAAAAATAACTTTTTTGTTTTTCAATATGCAAAAATATTGCAGGCTAATGGTCCTACTTGGCAAGTTCCATTGGGAAGAAGGGATAGTTTAACAGCAAATAAAACCCTAGCTACTCAAAATCTTCCAGGCCCCTCTTTCAATCTTTCTCTACTAAAATCTACTTTTCTTATTCAAAACCTCACTACAACCGATCTAGTTGCACTCTCAGGTATTAAATCTTTGCTCTTAAAAACACGTTACAAATTTTTGAACAAAAAATACTGATAACATGATTGCTTTAACTTGTTTCAATCATTTTTTAAGGTGGTCATACAATTTGAAAAGGACAATGCAGATTTTTCGTCGATCGATTATACAATTTCAGCAGCACTGGAAACCCTGATACAACTCTCAACACAACCTATTTACAAACATTACAATCAATATGTCCAAATGGTGGACCTGGTACAAATCTCACAGACTTGGACCCTACCACACCTGATACATTTGACTCAAACTATTACTCCAATCTCCAAGATGGAAAGGGTTTGTTCCAGAGTGACCAAGAGCTTTTTTCCACTACTGGTGCTGATACTATTGCTATTGTCAATAGTTTCATCAATAATCAAACTCTCTTCTTTGAAAACTTTGTGTCATCAATGATAAAAATGGGAAATCTTGGAGTTTTGACTGGAACTCAAGGTGAAATTCGAACACAATGTAATGCTGTGAATGGGAATTCTTCTTCTGGTTTGGCTTCTGTGGTTACCAATGAATCATCCGAAGATGGCTTGGCTAGCTCATTCTGAATATAATATGTCACTACCTCTATATAATTTTCAGGTGTTAAATGGGTGTATCAATATATAGTGTTTGTATCACTATTTTTAAAAGTGTCATTTTATGATATAATGGAATAATAATATCAAATGGAGTTTTTATCTAACTTTTCTAAACTGTGTTAATTATGGTGTTGAATTTTTTACGAAGGGTTAAACTAAGTTTTATTAGTACAAGTAAGTAAAAATATTAAGGATAAAATTTGTTAGAAAAATAAATGATTTGATTTATTGTGTTTGTGAATAAATATTAAATGTGATATTTAAAAACAAAACTAGCCTTACATGCTAAAATCTTATTTGACTATTTTTGGAGATAATGTGTAATACTTCTACTTGTTGTTGGGTAATGGAAAAGCATTTTGAAAATTAGTTGCTTACAATGTCATAGCTTCTATATATAATGCATATGCTTTATTACACTTCATACACGCGATGAATGCTTTACATATGCATATCTTGCATTGCATGCATGCTATACTAGAGAAGTTATTGTCCACGGTACACTACACTCTATTACTCCCCCACAAGCTCAAGAAGATTGACTTGCACGACTGAGTTTGCTACGCAGGTCTTGAAATGCGTATGTACCAAATGGCTTAATGAGCATATCAATCACCCGGAGAGAGCTAAAAACATGTTAGATTTTCATATGTTTGGCAATCACTCTTTCTCGGATAAAATGAATATCAAGTTCAATATATTTAGTGGAAGGATGGAGAATGAGGTTATGTGAGAGAAGGAATACACTAAGGTTGTCACAAAAAGAGTTGGAGGGAAGAATGTCACGGCAAGTTCTTTAAGTATAAATTCTAGCCAGAAAAATTCTTATGTAGTATGCACTAATTCTCGATATTCGACCTCAGTATTTGACCTTGTAACTAATGATTGTTTCTTAGAACTCCACGAGACGAGATTGGAACCAACAAAAATGCACTAACGTGACGTGGAATGACAATCATCAAGATCATTCTCCCAATCGGAGTCATTGTAGGCGCTAAGAGAGAGTTTAATTGAAGAATGAGTTGGAGATAGTAAGAGGCCATGATATTAGTGCCACTCAGATAACAAGAAATGCACTTTATAGCAGACCAATGAGTTTGAGGGGTAAGGCCATAAATTGGCATACTTTGTTGACACTAAGGAGGTGTTTGTTTCATGGATTTCAACTTTATTCTCAGGAATATGATTTGAATTTTTTGGATTTCCATGTTTGTTTTAAGTATTCATAAATTATGCCTTGGAGCTTTTTATTCCAGGGAGTTTCATTTATACTTGATTTTTTCAATTTTTATTATCATGTAATAGGATAAGAATCTTTTATTCCCATGGGAATAAGAAGGTAACCACCAATAACTTCCCACGTCTATTTATTTATGTCTTTTATTTTTTATTTTAACTTTTTAACTAAAATATATTTTATAAATATTCCTTGGAACTTAAATTATTTATCAAACACAAAGATAGGAATAAAGTTCCTAGTAATAATGTTTCTTGTAATAATATTCCTAGGATTATAATTTTAATCCTTGAAACAAACACACCCCAAAAGTAATATTTAGTTGTATAAGAGTCTCATATTGAAGTGCTCTAACCATGGATCAGTAGTGATGAGGCTCAGAGAGAGGAGTTACACCATGCATGTTTAACTTGCAACCAGTAAACATAGGTGTGGTAACACCATTATCATTGCTCATGTTGGCACGATTTAGGAGATCATGAATATATTTGGATTGGATGAGTAGAGGGCATCTAGTAGGCCGTTGTTTTATTTCAATGCCCAAGAAATACTCAGGATATCCCAGCTTATTGAGAGCAAACTTGACATGAAGTGGATCAATGAGTTTATGTAACAACATGGAAGAAGAGCATGTGATTAGAATGCCATCCACATTAACTAATGCATAGAGAGTTACACCTTTATGTGAGTAAATAAACAAAGAGTGATCGCATTTGCTTTGTGTGAAACCAAAATAAACAAGTGCATGAGTAAGTTTCTCATACCATGCACGAATGGCTTGTTTGATACCATGTAATGCCTTATGAAATTTGCATACAAGAGAATGATCTTGCTTTTTAAATTCAAGAGGTTGAGTCATATAGATATCCTTCTGCAAAGAGCCATTGAGAGACACAATATTGACATCAATTTGTTATAGTTCGCACTTGTTAGTGAGTGCCAAAGTTAGAATGACATTAATGCTGGTTGATTTGACAATAGGTTAAAACGTCTCATTGAAGTCAAAACCAAATTATTGGTTATAGCCCATGGCAACTAGGGATGCTTTGTATTTGCTGACAGTGCCATCGGGGTTTTGTTTCATCTTGAATACCCAATTGAAGCCCACATGTTTCCTATGTGGTGGAAGTGAGGTTAAGGACCATGTTTGGTTAGCTATGAGTGCATCATACTCAAGTTGCATCACATGATCCCGATTTGAATGTGACAAAGCATGTTTGACTAAAGTTGGCTCTACATATGCAAGAAGAGCTTTAGGTTTTAAGTGACATGTTTTAGCTTTAGTCAGCATATGATGCTCATTAAACTGAAGGATAAGTGGTAGAGAGGAATTGTGAATAGATGGAGATATAAACTCTGTGGAGTTGAATGCATGAATTTTCAAGTTGGTAGAACTAACTGGACTCGCTTCAGAAGATCCGCCATGAGTGATATTTTGTGTGGGAATTAAAGTGGGACTAGGATCCATAACTGAGTGTGAACTTAATGCATCATTGGGGCCAGGTGTGAATATTGGAGGGATATTATCAGTAACTATTAATGGAGAGCGCATAGGATCTGTTGCACCACTTTGAGAATCACTACCTAGTTACCAATAAGAGTTGGATAATGTTAATCAGGAAATAATCAAACACATTTATTGTGAATAATTTACATTCATAGAATAGGAAATTGCCATTATAAGTTGTAATTAGTTATTATGAGTTTTAATTAGTCATTATGAGTTGTAATTACCGACACTATTATATATAGTATCAAATGCAATGAGAAAGGCATCAAGCCAGAATTCATGACATGGTATCAGAAGGGTTCGATCTAACCTGTGAATCCTTGTTCTCTTGGCTGAATAGCGACACTCCACTGGGTCGCTTTTGAAATCGTGTTTCTTGTTTGTATTTCTCGAAATCTGAAATCTTTCAATTGCCGTTTCGTGATTTCTTCATTGTTGTTGTTTCGTGATCTTGATTTCGTGTTTATCGCACCTTGTTTCGGTGATCGTTAATCATTTGGTGCTGCTAACATATTGTGCTTTGCGATTCTATTTCGTATTCTCGATGATTTCGCTTGGTGATCGTTGTTCTTGGTGATTCTGTTCGGTGATCGTGGTTTCATTGTTGAATTGTTGGCGATTTCTAGATCATGGGTGTTTCTTCACCGTTCGTTAGCTACTGCGTGGTTTCCTGGTTTAGCTACCGCGTGGTTTCCTGGTTTGCTTCCCATTGTTTTACTATTTATTTAATTGGTATTATTAAATAAATTTGTTGCACGTGCACACTGGGTTTGGATTTATCCTGTTTATTTAACAATACAAAGGGGTTATATCTAATATCAATGGAAAATGAAAAGAATTTTTGTGTCCGTTTTACCGGCAAGAATTATTCGGCATGGGAATTTCAGTTCAAGATGTATGTTAAAGGAAAGGGATTATGGAGTCATTTAGATGGTGTTTCTAAGGCACCGACGGAGAAAACTGGTTTAGATGCATGGGAAACTAAAGATGCTCAAATCATCACTTGGATTCTCAACAGTATTGATCCTCACATGATCAATAACTTACGCTCTTTTTCAACTGCTCAAGAAATGTGGAATTATCTAAAGCGCATTTACAACCAGGGCAATTCGGCAAAACGTTTTCAGTTGGAGTTAGAAATTGCCAACTACAAACAAGGTGATTTGTCTATTCAAGAATACTATTCTGGTTTTTTAAATCTCTGGGCAGAATACTCTGCTATTATACATGCTAATGTTCCCAAGACCTCTCTCGCGGTTGTTCAAGAGGTTTACAACACAAGTGGTCGAGATCAATTTCTCATGAAATTACGCCCAGAATTTGAGGTTGTCAGAGGTGCCTTGCTGAATAGGAATCATGTTCCTTTTTTAGATACATGTGTTGGAGAACTCCTAAGGGAGGAACAACGTCTTATTACTCAAGGAGCCATGTCTCATGATGCTACCATTTCCGAGCCCGTGATGGTTGCATATGCTGCTCAAAGTAAAGGTAAAAATCGTGATATGAAACAGGTTCAGTGCTTCTCTTGCAAACAATTTGGTCATATTGCTCGTAGCTGCAATAAGAAGTTTTGTAATTACTGCAAGCAATAGGGTCATATTATCTCTGAGTGTCCCACACGTCCTCCACGACCAACACAACGTTCAGTACAAGCATTCCATGCAAATCATGTGGTTGGTCCTTCCACTAATGGGGCATCAAACGATAGTGCTATATAACCTGAATTGATTCAACAAACGGTACTTTCCGCTCTCTCGGCCTTGGGAATTCAGGGTAAGTCTTCTAGTGTTTCTCGCCCATGGTTTCTTTATTCGGGTGCATCCAATCACATGACAGGTTCTTCAGAGTATTTGAACAATTTACACTCTTATCATGGTAATCAGAAAATTCAAATAGCTGATGGTAATACTTTATCTATTACGGATATTGGCGACATCAACTCTGATTTTCGGGACGTGCTTGTATCACCTGGACTTGCGTCTAATTTATTATCTGTTGGTCAATTGGTAGATAAAAATTATGATGTTAACTTTTCTCGTGATGGTTGTCTTGTGCAGGAACAGGTGTCGGGGAGAGTGATCGCGAAGGGGCCTAAAGTGGGAAGACTGTTTCCACTCCAGTTTATTTCTAATCATATATCTCTTGCTTGTAATAATGTTTTGAACTCTTATGGCGATTGGCATAGAAAATTAGGTCATCCAAACTCTGTTGTTTTGTCCC